CATTTTCATACCTCCTCTGAAATCTAGGCAGAGACTCCCAAAGTTCAAATCTTGTCTTCTGCACACCCACAGGCCCAACACCATGTGGAAACCAGTAAGGCTCGGGCTTGCATCCTCTGAAGCAACAGCCTGAACTGTAGGTTGGCCCCATTTAGCCATGGCTGGAGTGATTGGGACACAGGGCTCCATGTCCTGAGGCTGTACAGAGTAGTGGGGCCCTGGACCTGGCCCAGGAAACCATTTATCCCTCCTAGGCCTCTGGGCTTGTGATGGAGGGGCAACCATGAACGTTTCTGACATGCCCTGGAGACATTTTTACCATTGTCTTGGTGATTAAAATTCATCTTCCTGTTACTTGGGCAAATGTGTACAACAGGCTTATATTTCTCCCCAGAAAATGCCTTTTTCTTTCCTACCATATAGTAAGGCTGCAAATTTTCCAAACTTTTATTCTCTGCTTCCCTTTTATATGTAAGTTCAAATTTCAGATCATCTCTTTATGAAAGATATGACTGTATGCTTTCAGAAAAAGTCAGGTCACATCTTGAATGCTTTGCTGCTTAGAAATTTCTTCTGCCAGGCACCAGAAAATTATCTCTCTCAAGTTCAAAAGTTCCACAGGTCTCTAGAGCAGGGGCAAAATGCTGCCAATCTCTTTGCTAAAGCATAGGAAGAGTGACCTTTGCTCTAGTTCCCAAGAAATTCCTTGTCTCCACCTGAGACCACCTCAGCCTGGACTTCATTGTCCATATTACTATCAGCATTTTGGTCAAAACCATGCAACAAGTCTCTAGAAAGTTCCAAACTTTCCCACATCTTCTTGTTTTCTTCTGAGCCCTCAAAACTGTTCCAACCTCTGCCCATTACCCAGTTCCAAAGTTGCTTCCACCTTTGTAGGTATCTTTATAGCAGTGCCCCACTCCTGGTATGAATTTTCTGTATTAATTCGTTTTCACACAGCTATAAAGAACTACCTAAGACTGGGCAATTTATTTTAAAAAGGTTTAATTGACTCACAGTTCCACATGGTTGGGGAGGCCTCAGGAAACTTACAATCATGGCAGAAGGTGAAGGGAAAGGAAGGTATATCTAACATGGTGGCAAGAGAGAGAGAGAAGGTGAGGGGGAACTGACAAACACTTTTAAAACCATCAGACCTTGTGAGAACTTACTCACTATCATGAGAACAGCATGGGGGAAACCACCCCTATAATGCAATCACCTCCCACCAGGTTCACCCTTTGATATGTGGGGATTACAATCAAGATGAGATTTGGGTGGGGAAACAGAGCCAAACCATATCACCTCCTTACCCTTTTCTCACTGTTCTGGCTTCTCAGTCTCTTCAATGTCCCTCAAACATACTATTCAAGACTCCACATCTTCACTTGCTGTTTCTCTAGCTGGAATGTTTTTTGCCCAAGTAGCCACATATCTTACTCTCTCAGCTTCTCCAGGTTTTTGCTCGAACACCTCTTTCTCACTTGGTGATTCTGTGACCATCTTCTTTAAAATTTCTCATCTCCAGCAGCACTTCCTAATATATTCTCATGTTTTCTTCCCCCCCCATCCATAGCACTTATTGCCACCAAAATTTATTTATTTCCCAGGGTTTTCATAACAAATTACCACAAACTTGGTAGCTTAAAGTAACAGAAACATATTGTCTTATAGTTCTGGAGGCCAGGAGTCCAAAATCAAAGTGTCATCAGGGCTCTCTTCCTTTGACAGCTCTAGGGAGGATCATTGCTCGTATCTTCCAGCTTCTGGTGGCCCCAGGTATTTCTTGGCTTGTGGATGCATAACTCCAATCTCTACCTTTACCTTCACATCCCATTCTCTGTTTTCTCTTCTCTCTCATGTAAGGAACTTATCGTCAGACATTGGGTCCACTCGGATAATCCAAGATGGTCTCAGTTTGAGGTCCTTAACTTTATTATATTTTAAAGACTCTTTCTTTTCCAAATAAATTCACAATCACAAGTTCCACGTTGAAAGTGTGAAAATATATTTTTGGGAGCCATCATTCAACCCACTACAATATGTATGTATGTAATATATATGTGTGTGTGTGTGTGTGTATATATATATGAATTACCAGATCATAATTGCCCTCATTGCTTCTCTTTTCTTTTGATCTTGATATTCTCTTGCTCCTCTCTCTCTCTCTTATCTTCTCTTGGTTTTCCGCTTTCTCCACACTCATCTCAGAGATTAGTAACAAGCTCAGTTTCAGGAATTGGCAGACATTTTCATTCCATGCCATAGTGATTCTCAACTCTCCTTACAATGTGTATATATATGTATACACACACACACACACACACACACACACACACACACACACACACAAAGGTATTATCTGATATCTGTTTCTGTCCACCAAGGTAACAGGTTTTACTATTTTGCTATTGTATCCCTACAGGTATGTAATAGATCCTTAATAATATATATTAGTTAAATGAATGAATAAATATAATGATTTAAAATATATACTGCATGTGTAATTAATATATATATACATATTTTATTTTGTGGGCTTCCTTATGAGTTTGGCTGGTGATAATCAAATCTTCAGGGCATGTTCTCTGGATAAACTACTAAAACTGACTACCAGCCTTTTATGATGGTTACCCCAACAAGATCACCAAATGCCCTAAAACTTCTAGCTTGCTTTGTGTGTCACCTTAGAAATAGCTTGTTTCTATATGAATTTAACCAGTAATCCACTACAAATTATTTTCTCTGTTGAGGCAGATTTCTACATTGGTCTGATCTCCATCCTCTGCTTTGCTGACCCTGTGCACTTATGTATTCCTTCCATAAAGGGGAAGGAGTTCAATATTCCATCTGTTATTTGAAAAAAAAATTCAATAGAATTCACCAAGAAACTCTACTTCTACATTCTCCCTTTCCAAGATATTCATGATGAATAATAAAGAAATAAACTGCCCCTGATAGTTGCAGCCTCCCAGGTTATGTATGTGGAATCAAGTAGGTGTGGAATGGTTTTAGACAGGTCCAGAGAGCATAGCCTTGCCAACCATTTTCCCATGCAAACCCTGATCTAGTGGCAGCTTGGACTGCCCAAGATATTTAACAATCAATGTCTTTTCCATTATGGTAGTTGATCCTCATAACCATTGTGTAAGAAATGCCAAGCAACTATTATTACTCCTGTTTTACACATGAAGACTCAGTGTTTCCAAAAGTATAGATGGGTTGGCCAAGGTCACATGGTGGAAAATATATGCAGGGCTAAAATTCAAGTTGTTGCCAGAGTTTTTTTATCTTTCATTTCCTAATCCCTACTGAACATGTCTTTTCTTTTCTTAACGCACACATTTAATATCCCTATATGACTATGCCATTGTATTTTGATTCATTTGAAGTTTTCAGAAAATAATCTCTTTTTTGTGTGTCTAGGTTTTAAATAGAAATATATTCATCACAACTTCTTTATTGCATCAAGGGACCAAACTACATTCCAGAAGCAAACATTAAATCCTTTCCATTTTTAAACATTGTTCTCTTTTGTACATTTATTCCCTAAAGTAATTTTATTTTTGTTTCTTTTTTCCTCTAGGACCTATAATTCACATTTTTTCATTTTTATTTTATTACTGTTCTGTAGGTATAGCAATTCATAATTCCAGCTATATTTCTTTACAACTAGCTTTCATACTCGGCTTCTAAAGAAGTATGTTTTCCTCTAGGGAGAGCCCATTCACTAGAGAAAGACCCAGGTTTGGATTCAGGGAACTGGGACTTTTGACCTCTGCTCCCCACTGTCTGTGGTTGTATGTTATTTACTTCCTTGAACATCTGTTCTGGAAGTTTATAAAATTGAACAAATAATTCTGACTAGCGTGTCTTAATTAAGAAGAAAGAGAAAGCATTCTTGAAAGTGTGGTTTGTTCTTAGCTAAAAGATGTTATTAATGCAAGAAACTCTCCTGTTTAAAACTGTTACAATAAAAGAATTAAATTCCCACTAATGTTGGCCCACTATGTTGAATACAGCTTTAAAATATATCGCCCTTTGCTATTGGCAAAACTATGAACCAAGAGTGAGCAAATCTATGTACCTTCTATGGGTGTAAAGCACATTTGATCAATGAGGTTCTAGTGTGTGTGTAGAAGGTGTGTGTAGAGAGTTGAGAATCACTATGGCATGGAATGAAAATCTCTGTCAATTCCTGAAACTGACCTTGTTACTTATCTCTGAGATGAGTGTGAAGAAAGCAGAAAACCAAGAGAAGATAAAAGAGAGAAAGAAACAAGAGAATATCAAGATCAAAAGAAAAGAGAAGTAATGAGGGCAATTATTATCTGGCAATTCATATATTTGATGATATTTATTTATCATCTATTTTATGTTCATCCACTAAAGGATACATTGTGGCACCTAGAAGGGAAATATAAAATTCAATAAAAGGCAACTGTGTGAGTTATATCAGAAGACAAAACACAATTGTGTAAGGTGCAATTTACTTACAGATAAAAGAAAGCACTCTAACTAGTTTAAGGAGAAAGGCCTTTAATACAGGTTAGTAAGTGCTTGCAAAAAGTCTTGCAAAAACTCAAGAAGCAGTCTCTGCCACCAAAATTCACTCCCAGCACAACATCAAGAATGAGATTGTTGAGGGAGTTGCTACCTCTGTCTTAGAAAGATGGGAAATCAGGAAGCTACCATCTATTTTGTTGGCCACAGAGCTATTAGCGTATGGCAGATCCAAAAACAGCTAACTCACCCATCACCATCTCTCTTCCTACTCAACTTGGTTATAAATTTACTCAGTCTTAGAAACCCCATTTGGGGTCACAGCCATTGAGAATTATTTTCTCTAGCTCTCTAGAAGGTATATGGCCTTAGAGCACTGACCATATGCCCAGATGCAGACACCCAAGAGCCTGAGATTGATGTAGACATGGTGATGTCATATTAACATGGGCAATGTCCTAACTGAGTCATTAAAGGAGAAAGGATGGAGGAAGCCATACAGGCTCCCACTCGACCTTTCTTTCTAATCAATTGCAATTGACTAGTCAGATCTGCTGGCCTGGCAATATGCCAGTTTCTTCAGAGCTTCCTTGACCTCTCGGTTTCTTAGGCAATAAATGAAAGGGTTGAGAGAAGGAGTAACAATGGCATAGAAGATGGAAATAATTTTGTTCTTGTTGAAGGCATGGATAGCTCGAGGTCGAGCATACATGAAAATAATGGCTGAATAGAAAATGGTGACCACCACAAGGTGGGAGGCACAAGTGGAGAATGCTTTCTGTTTTCCTGTGGGCATGCGTAAGATGGTGGCCAGAATGCATCCGTAGGACAGGACAGTAATAATGAGTGGGAAAAGGAAGATGCCCAGTGCCAGGATAAAGTCCACCAACTCAGCTATGGACATGTCTGTGCAGGAAAGATTAAGTACTGGAGAGATGTCACAGAAGAAGTGGTTGATGACATTGGGACCACAGAAGCTGAGGTGGGAGATGAAGTAGATCTTCGCCAGGGAGATGCCAAAGCCAATGGCCCAGGAACCAAGAGCGAGGCGGAAGCAGAGCCCATGGCTCATTATGGTCGGGTAGTGGAGTGGGCGACAGATGGCCACATACCGGTCATAGGCCATGGCGGCCAGGAGCACACATTCTGTGCACATGAGTGCAATGAAGAAGTACAGTTGTATCATACAGAGTGTGAAAGAGATGCTGTTGTTCATAGACCAAAAACTAAACAGTAACTTGGGCACAGTCACAGAGATGTAGCAAGTCTCCAAGAAGGATAGATTGGCCAGAAAGAAGTACATAGGCTTGTGCAGTGGCCGATTTTGCTGCACCAATAGGATGATGATCACGTTTTCAGCCACTGTCAGAATATAGGCCACAAGGAATATCAGAAACATGGCTGCCCGCATACTCAAGCTCCCAGGGAATCCCACCAGAATGAACTTGGTGACTCGTGTGTGGTTCTCCAGTTCCATATTGGAGACACAGGGCTTAGGTCTCCTGGGGAGGAAAGATCATTTGATCAGACTCCTTGGCCCAGCTATATTTTTCTATCCTTGTCTTCTCTATCAGTAACAGTTATCATTTATTAATACATATTATAGTTCAGACCATGAACTGGGTACGTGAGGCACACAACGTAATTTAATTTCCACATAGCCGTGTGTGAGAGAGAGAGAGAGATAATATCTGCTTTAATGATAAAGAAATCGTGTCTTGGAGAGGAATTAAGTAACTGACCAAGCTGTCACCGGTAGCAGGGCAGGAATCACATCGAAGTCTCAGTCTAAAACCCATGCTCCTTCTAATATCTTTCACCGTCTGACACTTTACAATTGCCAATTCCAAAAGACACACCTGACCTTCCTGTCTCACCACCTACCCGGAGCTCTGGAAGTTCTTCCTTACAACTCCTTTATCCTTCACATGCTATTATTTTCATCTACCATCTCTGGAGATAGAGAGTAGCTGTCATCACCTGTGAGGTACATGAGAAAGTGAGTAGCAGAGATTTGGGCTTTTCGGTATTAAAAATCCCCTGGACTTCATTCAAGTCAAAGGTCTGCCACAGATTTGCTATGACCTTGAAATCTTACCCTCTCTCAGATTCAGTTTCCTCTGCTGTCAATGTGAATATTAATATTTATTCAACTTATTTCGTTGATGAAAATCCAAATGAGTTAATGTAAATGAAATTGTATACAAACTAATAGCAATAATCATGAAAGGGGATTTTCCCCCATATTAGAGCAGTGATGAAGGTAAGAATATGCTAACAGGAGGGAGGGGAGGAGCTGCTGTGATCCAAGGCAAAGCTGTGAGCGAAGTAAACATGGGCCTCATTCAGGGAATCTGACGTTCTTGGGAGTGAAGGTGGGGATCACTGAGTGGAGATTTTTAAAGATAAGCAAACAAAGATGGAGATGCATTATAAAATTGGAAATATTTTCTATCAAGGTTAACAGACAGAACATAACACTAAAGTAATCAGGAAAGGTCCCTCTGACCTTTGAGGAGGTGATACTAAGGCTGGGAAAGATTCTAGGACCCCAGCTCTTTGAAGGGCTGAGGTGGGAGGGAGCTGTGCTGAAGGAGGTACGATTGCTGTGCTGTGATGGATGGGAAAGGAGCCAAGGAGAAAGGCAGGAAGGCAGGGCCAGAAGTGCAGGACCCCAGAGGTTATAATCGGGGATCTGAACAGTGGTCGAAAAGCAGTGGGAAACAAGCAAAAGATCAAAGGTGGAATGGGACATGATATGATTTATGCAATGGAAAGATAACTCTGTCATTGCAAAATGGACTCCTTGGAGGCAAGAGTGTGAGCTGTGAGCTATGAAACTAGTTGGAGGCTACTCAGAATAGGCGACAGTGAACTTAGATACTGTGGTTCAGAGAAGTGGATTTAAGATACACGTTAGAAGTAGAACCTTTAACAGTAATTGGTGGGTTGGATATGGAAGGTGAGAGAAAGAAAGAAATCAAGGAGGAATCTCAAATATAGGGCTTATTACCTAGAGGTGATGCCATTTACTAAGGTAGTTAGTTAGATGGCATCATTTACTAACTATTTTACTATCTTTACTAACTGTCTTACTATCACAGTTCAGAAAATCCTCTAACGATAATTTATTGAGTATTTAATAGATGCTGGGAAGTTCTTTTCATGCAATATCCCATTTAATCCACAAAACAATGTTAATTAGACATTGTTATTCTAATTTCAAAGAAGACACTGTGGTTTAGCTAGATTGAATAATATTTTCAAGTTAGACAGTGATAAAATCAGAATCGTAAAGCCCAGGGCTGACTACAAAGGCATGTCCTTAACCACTAGAGTGAAACACACTGATGAAGAATATCACATTTTGGACTCACCAGTGTATTTTACATTTAAAATTTCTGACTATTTTATGAAATGTTCTTTAATCCTGTTGAAATTTTATTATAAGCTGAGACTATTAGAGATGACCCCAAATGTTAAAAAGAAAGCAATATGACACAAGTACATTTCAGTCAGACACACACAGCAGAAATGAATGTATAGAAATGCTTGGTAAATGTATCAGAGAATAGATAATGATTGGATATGTTTGAAATGTAAATTAGGAGGAGGAAAAGGCATTTTTGGCAGATGAACCAGAGTGAACAAAGGCACAGAGATCTGAAACAGCTTGAAATTTTCAGGAGAGCAATTCATAATTGCTACATGAGTGGGCAAATTGTGAGCGAGTGAATGAGCAGAAAAGAGATGGCTGGAGAGAGAAAGAGAGAGACTTTATTGTCACGGACCAGATCATGGAATAGTGAGGCATTTAAGAATCATCTTGAAGTATAGACAATTAGTAATCACTGTTTGTCAGCAGGATGACAATATCCTCTTATTATATTCTTGTTTTTGATGTGGGAGGGTGGGTTCGGATGGGACAAGGTTGCCAAACCAGAGATTCATAGACCCATTAAAAAGCACCCTCACAGCAGACACTTAAAGATACACACAAAGAAAAGAAAAATCATTCTAACTTATAACATTTGTCAAAGAAACAAAGATGGACATATTCAGCTATACTTGTTCACAAGTTACATAAGTTTTCACTTCTAGAGGAAGCTCTACAAGAAAAACAAAGAATTCCTTATTTGTCATTAACTAAGTAAAGGTGCACAGGCACTAATTATTGCATACTGGTATTTTTGTGTATCATCTTACTGCAAAATATGTAGAGCCTTTTTACTTATAATAGTTTTTACTCCATTAAGCATACTTAAACTTGTTACCCCTCATAGCAGATTTACCCCTGGTCTAGAATCAAACATCTTTGTTTCTTATGCCTGCTGCTATGCACTTTTCCCCAATTTTGTCAGGGTTCTATACATACATAGGTTCCAAGTAATTTGAATTTGATGGACTTTTAACCTCTGCCCCTGCCAAAACAGCAGTAGTTTTTGTAGCCACCACCACAAACAAGTTGCAAGGAAGATGCAGCGGTGGCAGTACAGGGATATCAGGTCATCGGGTCCATGGTAGGGATCTAAAGTTTGGGATCGTAATCTGGGGCACTTATTTTTGATCCCACGCCAAGAGATGTCTCCAAAGTAGCAAGGGGAGCCTGCTCCCTCAGCTCACTGCATAACTGACTGCATTTAGATTTCAGGAGACAAGAATATTATCTGGACTGATTGCTAGGAATTGAGAGTGGATAGAACAAAGAAGCATTAAACATTTTAGAGTTTAAATGTTGCTGCACTGTAGGAGCCTGAAACAGGGCTGCCTGCATAGTGAGAAAGTAATGCTCTGAGAGGGAGCACTTACCTGGGCACAGCAGCTTCTGATAGGATGATATGTGAAAACAAAGCCTTCACCGATTCTAAAATGGGAAGAAGTAGAAGAAAAAGATGCAGGTATTGAATAGATGTGAGGAACCCACTTTCTAAACCTAGAAAGAGTGACTGGGTACAGATTGCCCCACTGCTTTCAAGCTGAAAGCCAGGATAAGATGACAGGAGAGCCCTAGGCACCAGGACTACATCTGATGTGCCTGATGTGGCACCAGGCTGGTTCTTCCAGCACCCTGGGACCAGGGTGCCCATCACCTTCCTGGTGAACACGGCAGTGATTTTAGGCACACTGAGCTGTGAAGACCTTTGGATTCTGAGGGCTTTATAGAGTGCCAAGACTTTCCCTACATGTCTGTCCAGACCCAAGAGAAAATAACCTTGACAATAGCAGCTCAGTTCTCTTGTGGGATTCAAGAGAAATTTCCATTTGCCCATTGTGGTGATCTTAATTGTTTTATATGTCATTAGTTCCATAAGAAAAAAAAAAAAAAGTCCACTTGGGACCACACACTTTGGAAAGAGCCATATTTTTTTTGACAGATGAAGAGAAAAATGTACTGCAGTTAAATCCCTATGTACAGGCTTTCGAATATTCTTCCATCTTTGGCTTACTTGAAACAGGATGATGATGCAAGTATTCCAAATGCGATATTGATATCCAAAGGAGACTGATATTACTACATTTTAGTAAAAGTTTAAATGACAGTTTTTGTTTTAGATGCTTATGTCAACTTGTTTACTAAGTAAATTTATCATGACAGAATTTATTGTTACTTTGTCAGCTGCCCGTGGGTACCATTTGACCAGTAGTTCACATTCTGGTACAAAACTCTAGTGTACTAAAAGTCACTTCTTCTGTAGCCAGCAGAACTATTAAGTTGCCCTCTCACAAAGAAAAGCTATCAGATTCACTGTGATTTGATGCAATGGGAGATAAAGATATTAAAAGTTATAAACAATTCAGTCTGGAGAGCCACACATGTTTATGGTAATTAAGCAAGCAGTCTTCAATACAATTTCTCTTATAGGACTGAAGTACGAAAACCAAATAGCAGCAAATAAAAATAAGGCATCTCTTTCAAATCTCTGGCCTCAATTTATCTCCCAGTCTCAGAAAAACTCTGACTTGTCTAAAATGTATTATTTGATATTAATCACAATTTTTCAACGTGGTTTTAAGCTGCTGTGATATGATCGTCACTGAGGGGGACCACATTGCTCCTCCAAAGATAGAAAATGTCCATCTACTGTGAGAAGATTCTGCGAATTACTGTGACAATCATTTTTGACTCTTGGAGTCAACATTTTATACAAGCAATTCTAGAATGGAGATATTTAGTAGATAAAAATTGGCTGTATTCTAGGACATGTTGACACAATCTTATCCTAGAATTCAGCTGTACAGGCTTTCCTTGGAATTTTTTCTTTTTCTTTTTTTTTTTTCCTATACCAATTAGTTTCAGGTTGAAACCTTCTGCAGTTCCCTGTTCAGTATATATGGGAAGCAATAAGGAAACTCTGAGAACTTGTGTGTTGTGCCTGAGGTCCCTTGGCTATCTGCCTTCTTTTTTCAGAGTCCACGTATATTTTTGTTATGTCCAGTTTTTTGTTGTTGTTGTTTGTTTTTATTGTAATGAGCATTTGATTCTTTGTTATTGCCCTTTGTTCACCATTGGTTGACACTAGTTCTGTTTGGGGCGCACC